TTAGTTCTGTGATTCATTCCAAAGGTTCTTTAAGTTTGAGTTTACTTCCTGACTTAGTAAAAAATTCTCCGCAATTATTGCTTTTTAATAAGAAAGAAAAAGAAATATACGACGCAATTAAGAAAGAAGTTAGAAAAAAAGTTAAAGCTCGGGAGTTATTGAAAGAAGAATTAAGAGAGAAAGATGATAAAATTGAGGAACTAAAAACAAAGTTATTAACTAGTGAAAGAAATATTAAAGATTTAGAAAAATTATTAGTGCCTAGTGTTGATGATTTATCTCAGAAACGAGAAATTAAAAAAGAAGAATTAGAAAAATTGGTGAGTGGTGTTAAGGAAGAAATTAGCCAAAAAAGCTTGAAAAATTTCTTTTGATAGTGAGGAATGGTAATATTAGCAAAAAAAAAAAAAATGACCCTGAATAAAACTTGCTAGTTTATTATTCTTATTAATCGGTAGTAGTTATTTACTTTATAGGTGGTGGAGCAGAAACCAAAAATTAGCCTGCTTACAGTCCCAATTAGAACAGAAAGAAAGGGAAATCCAGCAACAAGCCCAACAGCATTATCAAGAGAAAAAAAACTATTTAGAACTAACCACTAACTTAGACAACAGTCCTAATACTCAAAAATTTTTGGTAAATAACAGACAACTTTACACCAGAAAAAGAACCCACTAAATTTGGCCATAAAATGAAATACTTATAGAGTCTTTTAATTAATTTTTAGGAGGAATTTGTATCTCAGTTCTTTGCTGAGTTGCTTGGTATTCCTTCCTTAATTGAGCTAAACCAGAGGAATAAATTAATTTCTTTATTTTTTCTAAATTCAAATCCTCTCAATTCTTAATATTTTCTTTATCTGTTCAGGAAAAATTGTCGCTATCTTTAATGGCCAAAAGCCAAGGGAGAATTTGAAAAGTAGTGGGAATTTCTTTTCATAATTTTTCTATTCTTTGCTCTAATTCCTCCTTATTTTGGCAAAGTAAATAGTCTAAGTCATTCAATTCTTTCTCATGAGCCTTTAATTTCTTTTCTATATTAGTTCAATTTACTAATTGAGTTAAATCAATATTGGTTTTTCGGATGCTGTCAAAAAAACTTTCAAACTCTAATTTTCTTTCTTGATTCTTGGTTAATGAATAATTATAAATAAATATTTCTCGAGTTGCATCAACTCTTTTATCACCTTTAGAATTAATAAATATTTGAGCCTTTTTAGTAAATTGGGGATAATCTTTGTAAAGTTCTTTAATGAAGTCGGTAGCATGATTAGTTAACAGTCATTTAGCACCTTTACTTAAACTTACCATTATTGCTACTCCCTTTATTTTTCCTGCTCGTTCATTAATCACTTTTAATAAGGAAAAGTTAATGAGAGAAGGTAAAATTATAACACCGAAACTAAAATCAACCTCTCCTCTCTTTCAACAAGTAAGGCAGAATTTACCAAAAACCAACCAACTGTGAGCTTTCAGTAGCAAAACAGATTTCAAAGATATGAATGAATTAAAACCTTTTGTCAAATGAGCCGGGGGCAAAACCCAGTTTCTTGACACTATTGAAGTTCTAATACCCGAAAAATATTCTCAATTTGTTGAACCTTTTGCTGGTGGTGGAGCAATAATTTTAAATACTCAACCGCCAAAAG